AGCCAGGCCCAGAAGCTGATGGAACAGGGGGCCAATAGCTGGTCAGCCAATGAGAGATGGGCCCGGTGGAGTATTGCTTGAACAGCAGTCGGTATGGATCTATGTCCCCTCCTGGCCCACGGCAGAAAAGGGGTGAAGTGGCTCAGTGACAGGCCGGGCCTGTCCCAAAGCCTTCAAAGTAGACAGTAAATAGAGACAGCAGCCAGCTCTGCCCTGCTCCCCAGCTCTGCTCCCCCTCCCCCCGCCCCCGGCTCAGCTCCCTCATCACCCTGCTGAGCTGCCCACTCTGAGGAGCTCTCTGGCTCCCTGAGTATCCGGGGGCAGTTCTGCCCGCTCCTAAGCACGAGAAGCCTGGCTAATCTGAACCCTCGGTCCCCCGAAGGTGTCGGGGGTCCCTGGACAATGAAGGTCCAAGAAGGAAGCTTCCCCCTCCTAGGGGCTAGTCCAGACACTGCGTGGGTGCTGGGATCCATTGGCCCCACACATTACCTGCGTGGACTGGTGTCACTGGGCAAGTCCTGCTGGGCTCCCGAGAGGTGCCGTGCCGGGGGGCAGGCGATGGCGAGGAAGCAAGAGGCGAACAGGTCGTCCTCGCATCCCTCCAGCGTGTCCGCTTGCCCCAAGGCCCCGATCAGCTCCCACAGGCCGCATGTGGTCTGGAAGGGAAAAGATACAGTCAGAAGACCGTGGCCGTGCGCAGAATGCAGCCGGGAAAGAGGGCTGAATGCCAGCGATGGGAACTTACCGCCGGGGGCAGCCGGGCTGGCTGGGGGCAGCTCCTGTCCTGGGTCTGCCCAGGGTTAGCCCGGCCTTTCTCTGGGCTGTCATACAGCAGGATGTGCAGTACCTGCCACTTCTCAGCCTTCACAGCCCCGGATGTTACCTAGCGAGCAGGGCTGCAGAGAGAACATGGCGCCTTCATCGCAGCCCTGACCAGAGGGACACAGAGCAGAAGTGGGTTGGTACCTAAAGGGCTGACCTGGCATCTGCCCTTCAGTAGGTTCCTGGAACCATCTGGGACCTCCCCTGAAACCACCCCAGCCCCAACACACCTTCTACATCAGGGTGAAGGGTGGGCAGATCCACAGCTGCAAGTGCTGGGGAGCAGGGAGAAAGTCGTGTGAGCAGCAGCAATGCCGGGGCGACACCCAGAACCTGCTTCCCGCCCCAGCAGGGAGAGGACATGGAGCATTTAACCTCTTCTCCGCTTCCGGACACTGGAACTCAGCGCTCCTCTCCTGTCTGGGGGGCGTTGGCACAGGTCTGAGGATCTTGGGCTCAGCGCTTTGAGGATTCTCCCCATTGATCCTGTAGGGTCTCGGGGCTGTTTCCTTCAGGGGAACAGGGGCTCCAGGCCAAG